ACACTCTACAATATTTTATAGAATTCAAAGATGCGACTAGTGTGAAGAATCCTCTCCAACTATGCTTGGAGCCCAGGGTCAGTCCTAGCTGAACTTGGCTCAGATCACATAGTTAAATTTTCTGCTGGAAATGCAGTAATTCGTAGGCCCAGAGGTGCTACAACTAAACCCAGTAATGTTTGAGAGGTCCATACAATGCCAGGAATTAAACTTCAGGCCTTGGCCTTAACAGCATGTGCTCTAGCCCTTTGAGCAATCTCTCTGGATTCTCAAAGACTTGCTTATGTATTGCTTCTACCCAGTTATATCTATCATATTAGAAATTAAAAGTAAGAACAATTTAAAATATGAATTATTTAAAAACATGATGAATACATTATAGGTAACCCCAAATAGCACATGGTTTTAAAATCTATATTTTCCTTACCAGTACTGAAACTTAATAGTATAGCAAATCTGCACACAATGATAATAGCTATCACTGCTTCCTTCACAAATAAAACTGAATTACTTGAATGAAATTATTCCTATATAACTTTACTTTTCCAACATCTCAGCATCAGATAATTTATATTTTATGCCCCATATGTTTATGACAAGTGAGTACATGAATAAAATTTAAAAGATCCAAATCTACATTATTTATTACTTATAAATTTCAAATCTACATTACACACTCATATAATAAAGCTTGCTGCTAATATTAAGTAAATTTATTTTTGTTTTGGTAAACAATATGGCACTAGACAAAACATATCAAAATACATCCCCAATAGGTGCAAAAGGAGAAACTCATAGATGGTTTTAAAGTTAAAAGTTTAATTTCACAGCAGAGACAATGATATGTGGGTTTACATTTCATAATTATAGCTTTAAGCAATATAAAAATTATATTTTCTGGACATTAAAAGGTAAAAGGTAAAGGCCCTCCCGTTGATCATCAATTTGCTCGAGCGGGCCCAGTAACGTCTCCATTGGAGACTTTGTTGTTACTGTGTTTGGCATATCGAATACGTCACGGGGAGCTTGCCAGGCTCTGCCGTGCGGGCGAGATACTCTCGGTAGCTTGCCGGGCTTTCCGAGAGGGGCGGAGGAATCGAACTCGGGTCGGCCATGTTGGCTGCGTGCAAGGCAAACGCCCTACCGCTGTGCTATACTGAAGCCAATTAAATGCAAAGCTTAACCAAATATTGATAAATGTTGACCACATTTTTTCAAGATCTTGCAGTTTGGAAACTATTTAATGACTTATAAAATATTTGATGTGTAATTTGTAGTTTAATAAGCCAGGAAAACAACGTGTCGTAACTCAAATTTTCATCAATGCAAAAATCAAATGAAATTTGATTTACTGTTTGATGATTAGAGTTTGGTAAATAATTTAAGAGAATAATGGTTCAGATCAGTTCAAAAGAGTTTGCAAATATTCTGAAATTAGTGTAGGTGTCACAGTGAAACACAATCAAATTACTGGTGGTTGTATGCAAAAACATAAGCAAAATTTTGCATATGCTTTGCATATATTTGTACTAAACCACGAGTATTTTATATAAGTGACAACACCAAAAGCCAGACACCTCATTATAACTTATGCTCATAAGTTTCAGCAACCAATAATGAAAAATTAAGTCATTAATTTAATGTACATACTAGCCTTATTTTAATAGCTACTAAACATTGATACCTACTAAACTGTTTAATAAAAATTTAACATAAATTGACTTCTTACTATTCTGCTATTTGATGACATTGTAATGTAGTGCTCCCTAGAATTACATTGAATAATTAAATATTAAAATTATATGTTAATACAAAAAACTGTAAATTATTTTTAAATAGAATAAGCTATTTGCTGAAGAGATGGTATAAGGGTTACAGCACATGCCTTACATTTTGCTAACCCAGTTTTATCCCCAGCATCACTTAGGGTTCACAGGAGTGAACTGACAGGAGTAAGTCTTGAGGTCTTGCAGGTATGGTCTGATAATAATAATAATAACAATAATAATAATAACAATGTAGCTCAGAATAAACTAGAATCATTGAAATATTTGTACATATATCTATCTACATATAAAAAGATCTGTGTCAAAAATACACAATATATACACGATGTATAAGTATCAAATAAGTATCAAATGAATTTGTATTTTTAAAAAATAATATAAAATATAAAGAAGGTAAAAATTTTAAGAATAGACGGATTAATATCTATGAAAAATACAAGTGCTTTTTTTTGACCATAATAATTTTATTTTATTTTTTTATTTATTTTTTTTTTATTAGTGAAACCCCATGAGGTACAGTTATAGACTTATAAACTTTTGTACTTGGGTTTCAGTTATACAATGATCAAGTACCCATCCCTCCACCAGTGCCCATCCTCCACCACCATGGGTCTCAGCATCCCTCCCACCTCCCATCCCCCCCCCGTCCCACCCTGCCTCTTGGGCAGGGCATTCCCCCTTGTTTTCTCTCTCTTCTTTTGGGTACTGTGTTTTGCAACAGAGGCCTTGAGTGGCAATAATGGTTGGTCTATAGACTACTTTTAGCATGCTTCTCCCACCCTGGGAGGGTCTCACAACACCCTTTATTTGGTGCTCTCTTCTCTATCTGAGCTTCCTTTTCACCTAGCACATGTGGCTGGCCTTTAAGTCATGGAGCAAAATTCCTGGTACTAATCTCAGCCATTCCTGGGTGTTAGTCTCCCGTTTTGCTGCTTTATGTTCCCCAGATGAATGCAATCTTTCTGTGTCTATCCCAGTCTTTCTGATTCATTTCGCTTAACATGATACTTTCCATGTAGTACCACTTGTATGTAAATTTCATAACTTCATCTTTTCTAACAGCTATATAGTACTCCATTGTGTAAATGTACCAAAGTTTCTTTAACCAGTCATCTGTTCTAGGGCGCTCAGGTTTTTTCCAGATTCAAATACAGGTGCTTTTAAACTAATTTTAACATATTTGAGGTGAATAAATATGACCTCAGCTTATTAAGTAAATATATATATATATAGATTTTTTTACTAACCAGTATACTTGTTCTGTGTTTCTCAATCTAAGAATAGATCTTGAAAATGTTTTCAAATGATTAAAATATACTTGGGAATTTTTGAATTTGAGTAAATTATCTGTTTTATAAATGCTTTTAGAATGCGAATATTCTAATTATGGATAACATAATTTCCAACTACCAGGATTTTACTATCTTTTTTGCTTGTATTTTTCTGGGGCTATATCCTGTGGTGCTCGGGCCTTACTCCTGACTCTTCAATCAGGACTTACTCCTGGCAGGGCTCCCGGGACCATATGGGGTGCCAGGGATTGAACCCGGTATGGCTATGCAAAGTGAGTTCATGACATACTGTACTATCACTTCAGTCAAGAGAGTGAGCTATCTTTACCTTTAGTTTTTAAAAATAAAAATACTTTAGTACAGTTGTTATCACTGAATTATAAAATATGGTTAGAGCAAGTGGTACAATGTCCGTACTCTAGAAACAATCTCTAATGAGAATTACTTGTCTTTAGATCTAGTCACTCTGTAACAAGGCAAAGCAGACAAAACAGAAAATAGACATGAAAGAATCCCAGCCACAGGCTTCTGTTAGCCCCAGCTATATTCCAGATTTCAGATAATTTATAAAATTGACCCTGTGTCTATTAGGTTTGACTATATCAAATTATTGAGTGAATGCGTTGCTATAAACCCAAAGCTGTAGTGTGACAAGAATTAAAAGTGTCATGTAAATTATTATACTTATATGTATCTTGTACCCTTAAAGTATTGATTTAAAATACATATATACATGTATACATATACACATATATATACACATGTAGATATGCATATATATACATATATGTATATGTATACTATATATATTTATATACATACATATTGCACTCTAGCACTGTAGCACTGTCTCCCATTGTTCATCGAGTTGCTCGAGCAGGCCCAGTAATGTCTCCATTGTGAGACTTTTTGTTACTGTGTTTGGCATATCAAATACGTTACGGGTAGCTTGCCAGGCTTTGCCATGAGGGCGAGATACTCTTGGTAGATTGCCGGGCTTTTCCTATTTTTGTCAAAATGAAAACTGATAGCAGAATCTCTACCTATGATTACATTTACAAAAGTTCTTTTCAGAAAATAGTGTACCCAAGATCTGGGCTTTGTTGTCCAATTTGCTTCTAACTTTTTATTTTTATAAACTAAATATATACAGAGAATGACATTTTTTTCTATGAAACTTGAATATGAGTCGTGAATATACATGATTTAAAAAATTAATCCACTTGTAATTAACACTTAAATGAGGAAGTTATCTGATTCAGTGTAACTTCTTGAAGACTATGTTTCCACTTGTAATTAAAATAAATTAAAAAATCTGCTGAATCATATTAAAATATCACTGATTTATAGACAGGAAATAAAGAAAAATATTTGCATGACACCCACTACTGACTTAGGCATATGATGAAGTCTCATATGATTTGCAGTTGATTATTTTTGGGGATGGATGGCAATCTGCCAGTGTTCAGGGGTTACTCCTAGTGGGCTCTGAAGACCATTGGGGTTTTGGAATAGAACCTGGTTGACTGACAGTGTACAAGGTGAGTACCTGCTGACTGTACTTTCATTCCAGTCCTGGTTTTTGTTTGTTTTACTGAGTTGTTTTTTGGGATTTAATGTTATACTCACCAGTTCTCAGAGTTTTTAATCCCGGCTTTTCCACTCAAGGCAAACTCTTGGGGGGAGGGGAGATGAGTTCAAGAAACCATCAAGATACTAGGTATAGAGACCCTGTTAGCTACCAGCAAGGCAAGTTCTTAATTCTCACTGTACTGTCACTCCTGCCCCATATGGCTGGCTTTCCTAACATTACATGAGTTCACGAATTGCTCTCCTGCAAATAATAACTGGACACTGAATTTTGGATGCAAAGGTGTCTGACAATTTTAATTTGGACCTTTTCTTTTGTTTTATTCCTAAGGTCTGGGGATTGGTAATATGTTCTACGTTTTTTATGAAGATGGAATCAAAGTGATACAACCTATAGAATGTGAATTTCAGAGGCACATTAAGCCTAGTGAAAAACTCCTTGGATTTCAGGCAAGTATTCAAAATATATATATTTTTAAATTTTTCTTCATGATCTTTTATATAGAATTATGGATGGAAAACACTACAGGAAAACACAATAAGATTAATATTTATAACTTAATATATGTATCCCATTTCTCATTTTTTTTTGTTTTTTATTTTTTATTTTTTTAAATTTTTAGTTTTACCCAATTCTTATTTTATTTTTTTTCAAAAATATTTTATTCTTTGTGCCTCACGTGGTGATGCTCAGGGAATCCTCCTGGCTGAGTGCTCAGAGATCACTCCTGGTTGTGCTGGGGTGAAGGTAGGGGAGAGGAGACCATATGTGGAGCCAAGGATGGAACAGGGTTCATTGCAAGGAAGGCAAGAGCCTTAACCCCTCTACCATCTCTTGGGACGTCTCTTATTTATTATGAGGAAATGAATCAGTTCATTTGATGCTTGATGATAAGTTGGAAATCTTTAGAGCTACTCCAACAGCAAGAAATCTAGACAGGGGTGCACATTACAACCTTAAATGAAGAATTCTCAGATTGGCCAGGCAACCAGAAACCCAGACACAAATGGTATTGTTATCTTCAATCTGAAATTATTCACAGTTTTTTTCTGGAAGTCTTGACATAAAATTCCTCCTAATTAGAAAACTTGTGAAGTCCTAAGAATTTGACCTGGTTGAATAAAGCATACACATATAACAAAAGGCGATCCATTTTCTGTAAAGTCAACTATTGTCAGAGATGATGCAGTAGGAAAGGTTCCCAGCACACAGCTCAGTGAGGTTGGACCCTCGGCATCCTGAACCCTTCCAGGAGTGATTTCTGAATATAGAGCCAGGAGTACTGAATGCAGACTCAGGAGTAAACCTTGGACACAACCAGGTATGACACAGTAAATGAAAAAAAAAGTCAAAAAATTTCAGATATTTGTGACCACTTCTTTACCAGTGATTGTGTTAACAACTGAATCTATAGTTTCCTTGACATTGAAAGTTTGCCATCACTTCTGACAACTTTAAATTAGTCATTGTAAATCTGTAGTCCCAATAGAATGTGTAGCATCCTTAATATTATGGCATGTTAGGGGCCATATAAAAATGTTTTATAACATTTTTTGAAATAAATTTATTGAAAATGTTATTACTTAGAGCCTAGACTATACGATCTTTTGTACATTCTCTGAGTTCAAATATATGTGTTTAATTTTCTCTTCACCTTGATATTTATTCCTAATTTACAAGTTTCATACACCAGTGTTCTTTTAATATGTTTGTGAAAAATATTTCATAGAATAATTTATTAGTGTATTTTAATATATTTATATAATATATTATAAATATATTTTATATAAAATATATTTTAATATATTTATATAATATTTTTATACACTTACTTTCAATTAATAAGCCCAAGAGTTTAATTCAGGATAACATAGTCAAATTATACTGTGCAGATAGGTACCCTATATAGATAGTGATGAAAAGTAGGGGAGAGTTATTTTATATCATTTTTGAATATAATCTGAGTGGGAGTGCTAGAAATAAATCATTTGCAAATAAAAATTTTTATAAATAAAATTTTATGTATATGTAACATAGGTACATTATTTTTCAAAGACTTATGAAAATAGTAGGGAGAGATTATAAAATAACTCATTGGCTCTTAAAGTTTAAAAAATTGATAGTCAGTGAGGATTCATACACCATGATGCTAATTGTATTTTCATAATTTTCCCTTTTTGAAATATAATCTTTCTATAGACATATCTTCCTATGTTTGTCCTAATTATATATATGATTTCATCTTATCTCTTATCGTCTATAGTGTGAACTTTAAACAATTAGAATTTTGACTATAGATTAAAACTAAAATAGTTCTAGTCAATATTTAAGTTAGGGACCTTGGGATAAACATTATCATCTCTTTAAATCTTCTGGTTTTTGATTGTTGTGTCATTTACTACTTTTAAAATATTTACTACTCATTCAGTTCAGTTACATCTGTGATTGTTCTAATTCTAGTAGCTTCTCTTCATATAGATCATGGTGCTATTTATTTCTTCACAAACACTAGAAGAATTTTAGAGAAAGATCACACACCTTGTCAGGAATAGGTCTTTTATTTTGGGACCTGAAGTCTCTATCCCTGGCTTTAAACCCTTTCTACTGGAAGTCTCATATGAATCACCTTTATTTCTCTTTTTATGGTTCGGCATCTCCATGTACTAATACTACTTTACCTTCATAAATAAATAGTATTAGTATTTAAAAATGGTACGTGTTCATAATGAGAGGATTCCCATAGTGTTCAAGTATGTTTCCAACAGAATTTTTAGAAATGGGAAACATGGTTCTCGCTGCTGGTATCCCATCTCACTTAAGCAGTTCAGTCTTCAGACATTCACCATCAGTTCCCTTAGTTATAATGCCAAATTTCTCTTTGAAGCATTTCATTGGATTTCTAATCCAACTTCTATTTCTCTAAACTCTGTTCACAATTATACTTGTTAAAATACCATCTCTTTTATCTGATGCAGACAATTAATTTTCCCCACAAAGTCATTGAGCAACCTTTTGAATTCAGTATCATTGTATGTTTTAAAAATATAATCATAATATTTCCCCATTTATTCTTCTCTCAGTGGGTCTTTATTCAAACGTGGTTTAAGTTACAAAGGGTTATAAAATGATAAAAATTTAAGCTTTTGTGCTTTGTGGTTACAATGATATCCTGCAAAGAGCTTTCCAGAGAGAGTTATATAAACTCCCTCTAACTATATACTTAGAAGATTGTTCTGTAGATTTTTAAAGAAATTTATAAATTGGTTTTTGAAGCCCTAAACTTAGAGACCTTTCTAATCCTTCATTAAAATTCCCACTGTTTTAAAATGCTCATGTTGTGTTTCTATTAGACTCTAAATATGTAAGCTTAGCATTTTGAGAGCAACAGTGGAAAGCACATGCATTGTACAGCAGCATTAAAATAGTGTTGCAAAACATATTAATTAATTTAGATATTTTTATCTAAGATAACATATTTCAATCTTCATAAGATTATTACTACAAGAACCAGCAATTTATTTGTATGAATGTGTCCAGAATGTACATGTCTTAGTTTATTATTATCTTTAAAATCATTGTTATATGAATAATGATGATTCACTTCACAAGTTCTAGAGTCTTTAATCTTTTTGGATCTTGGTGTTTTTGGTTTGAGGCCATACTCAGCCACGCTCAGGAGTTACTTTTGGCTCTGCTCTCAGAGATCACTGCTGGTGGTTCTCCCAGGACTATTGTGTAAGGCAAGATCTCTACCCACAGTACCATGTCTTAAGCTTTTCATTCTATAGTTTCTAAAGGATAAATGTATTTACATTAATTTACACTTTTCAATAGTAACTTCCTATAATAAAATAAAAAATTAACTTATAAAATGTATTTATAAAAAGACTTTCAAACATGAATTATCTTTAATTGCAATTTAGAAATTGACTCAAGACATAGTTTGCATAAATATTAAACTATTTTTCTTGCCCAAGATTAATCTTTATTCAAATAAAAGCATCATTTTATTTTTTCTTAATAATAGATTTCCATGATAAAAATAAAATGAAACTGAAAAAATCTATGATAATATAATGGTTTATTTTTTTGCCCTCTTCTTAAACATATTTTATATAAAAATTACATGTGATTGTTATAAATGTGGTATTCTGTAGTATAATTTTATTTCTCCCATTATTTAAACACCATGGTTTACAAAATTGTTCAGGATACATTTATCATAGACCTTTAATATTCCAACAGCAATCCCAACACCACTGTGACCTTCCCTCCACCGTTGTCCCCATTTTTCTAATCTGGCCCCTTAGCAGACAAAATTTTTTTATAATGATGATTATAACTAAGTAGCTAATGCAATGATTTAAAAAAATGTAAGTGAAAGAAAATTTCTGTAAATTGTTATATTATACCATGGGGAGATTTAGTTCTTGCCTGAGGGTTTACTAAGCTGCTGCTAGTTAAACCTTCTGTGTTAATGTTTTCATTTATTGAGCTTCTTTGACATCTATATTGCTTTTCCCTGTAATCTGATGTGCTTCTACCGGGACATGAGCATTGTAGAGTTTGGCGGTGTTCAGCTCCACTTCTGGAGCACTCACAGCTGCACACTCCAGAAACACCAGAATATTTGACTGGGCAATGGGCTTATAGGGCTTGGTTGTGTGATGTAGGTTTGGTTGCCAGGGCTTCTGGAAGTTCAGGATAGTTTCTGGCAACTTCTCACTCCTTTCCAAGAAAACCTTAAAATTCTCAGTCTGGAAACAAGTGTACCTAAAGTTTTTGGCAGTTTAGCATTTCTGCAGAAATTAATGGTGAAGCAGTAGATTAGGGTCACTGGCATGGCAGCAGATACGGGGGTGTATATAGTATCATTTGAATTGCTATTAGATATTTCCTAATATTACTTCTTGATAAAAGATAAAAACTTACAAGGATGATTTTAGTTTTTACCTTTTAATTTTCTGAAATATATGGAAAATTATTGATTTTTGAAATTGAAATAATTTTAATGGTTCACTTAAATGTTTCTGTATATGTTTAAAAAGCTTATTATAATTTAGATGGGGCTGGGATAAACATGCATCCTGTAAGGCATTTGATTTCACGCCAGTGACCCAGGTTCATTCCCAGCATCATATATGATCTCCTGAGCATCAGCAGGAGTGCAGAGCCAGGAGTAACAGCTGAACATCACTGGGTCTGACCCTCAAACCAAAATATATAAATATATAAAAGCACGAAAACAATTTGCTGTAGTTTAGATATAGTTTTATTTCATGTTTTTAGTTTTCTTTGCTTTTATATTTAGCATATCTTTTCTGAACTATTTTTGATTTATTCTTTACCTTGTATAACTTTAATAATTGTTAAAGTTGCAATGTAATTCAGGAGGACATCCATATATTTAATATTATTTTCATATATCATTTATGCAATACATGTGATT